TGTGTGTGTCTACACACACACACACACACACACACACACACACACACATACACACTTTGGTTCACAAACTTGGTTCTTTCCATGATTCTGGTCACAAAGTGAGTTGAAGAAGAGAATCAAATTAAAGGAGGTTAGGTCCAATGTTGACCTTATGAAGAAATTTGATTCAGTTCTCGACCAGTTTGGTTTGCGATCAGAATTGTGGAGAGAATTGAGTTCGTGAGCCAAGGTGCCATGTATATATATAGTAAGTCCCTGACTTAACAAACATTTGAGTTGCAAGCTCTCACAGGTGTACAACTGCATAAGACTCACTCTGTCAGCTTATGAATAATTCTCCAGATCAGAACTCATTCGTAAGTAAGGAACTTATTATATATGACAAAAGACAGATAAGAAAGGTGTAACATGTCAGATCCATACAGGCACTTTTTCCTGTACATTTTGGCAAATGTACTTCCATTTTTATCATGAATTTTGTTTCACCTACAAGCAGGTACTCTATTTCAATTCTCTGTACCTCAGGCTGTGGCAAAGGCTCAGGATGGATTTTTTCTTGTTTTAAAGTAAGCTCATCTGGCCAGAGGAATGAAACTTGGATGCAATGTTTTAATGGAATTACAATCATGACTGGTTTAACATTCAGGGAATGAAGTGACACATTCAAAGGGAAACAGACTGTAAAGTCAAGCCAAGATCAAAGCTGTTTTGTTCTCTACCCTGGCTGCACATCAGAATCACCCATGCAGAGCTGCACATGTAGACACTAGGAGTCTAACTTGGAGACTCTGAATTCATGTTGCCTGGAGCTGGCAACAGTCTTGTCAAAGAGCTCCAAAGGTGATTCTGATGGGCAAGCGGGTTCCCAAACCCTGGACAAAGAGTCATGGAGCTATAATGCACCAAAGGGCTGAGAAGCTGTTGGCCTGGCCACATTTTCCATATTGGGTGAGGAGTATAGGAGATTCCAGGCTTTCTTAGAAAGGACAATGTGGCTGACTTTCAGGGAGCCACAAGCATTCCAACAAGCAGCACCTTCTGTAGTCATCATGAACCCAGAAAAGAAACACTTCTCTTACTGGCACAGGCAGAGTCTTCTCAGTGACCAACAACTACGGACTGGACACCGAAGTTGCTCTGCTTTGGACTCTGAGAAACAAGTACACAGATTCCCTTACTTCTATCAGATCCTTCTGAAGCCCGATCCAGTGCTGACATGACTCACGTACAGGGAGAATGGGTGGTGCTGTTTTACTGCCTTAGCTATTCTGTTCAGATGTGAAATCCCAACTCAACAGTAAGGCCTAGCAAAACAATGCTAGATGCCCCACACACCGAAAGTGTTGGAAATGGTTAACATTTTATTATAATTCCTCTCTCAATAGATCAGGAGGTCCGTGCAACCTATGTGACAGAAAACTGGCTTGGTTTGAGAACAGTGTCAGATACACACTGCATGTGACTCATACACATCCAGCTCACTTACACCACCAGACAAACTAGATCCTCTAGAAGACAAACAGTCCATGCTTTGAGAAAATTCACTTGCCAGTTGTTCTTGTTATACAAGCCAAAGGTCAAATACTAAAGTACTGATTTCCTACCTGTAGCATCTGACTCTTTCCCAAGCCTGGATCTCCAACAACAAGGACATGTGGGTCTCCTCGAATTGGGATTCTGTTTTTGTCATCTGCATATTTCTGGCTACCTCCGAAGAGTGCTAATGCCAAACCTGCTTTAACAAGCTCAAGTGTGAAAGGAGGGGAGGGCAGGAAACAAGAATATAAAGATGACTAACAAAAGGGGCATAGTATTCTTGCTTCTATGTTTTACAATACTAATTTTTTTGAGGATATAATGTTTAAGCCTGACTAAAATTTTCATTTTTTATAACAAAATTATAGAAACATAAATTTCAACAACACATATTAAAAACCTGGGCATGGGCCGGGGATTTCGCTCAGTGGTTCGGTGGCCTGCCTTGCAAGTGCAAGGACCCGAGTTCAATCCCCGGTACCAAAAAAAACAAAAACAAAAACAAAAAAAAACCTGGGCATGGTGCTGCATGCCTATATTTGGGAGGCTGAGGCAGGAAGATCATTGGTAGTTGAGGCCAGCCTGAACTACATTACCAAGAAAAAACTTAAGTGATGCAGGGGGCAAACTGCAGCTCTTTGCAAGATAAAGCTGCCTTCATAGGAATGAGACTCTTTTAAAGTGACTGCACATCCAAGTTAGAGCAGGGATCAGCACATGCTTATCAATTTTGGGGACTGTGCTTGCACCTTGCAGCACAGCCCTTCATACTTTCTAAGATACCTTTGTGATATTATATACTTTCACATTTTTGTTTTGTTTTTGAGACAAGGTCTTGTTATATATTTCAGGCTGGCCTTGAACTCACTGTGTAGCCCTGGATAGGCTCAAATTCACAGCAATCTTTCTGCCTCAGGTTCTTGTGTGCTGAGATTACAGCTATGTGCCACCACACCTAGCAGAATCATTAATTTTTGAAAGTAAAGATTCATGTTAAAATATGATTAACTGGAAGCCAGCCATGGTGGCTCACGCCTGTAATCCCAGCCCTCGGGAGGCAGAGGCAGGAGGACTGCCACAAGTTCAAGGCAGCTGAGCTAAACAGTGAGTTCAGGGCCAGCCTGAACTATAAAGTCAGACCCTGTCTCAAAAAAACAAAACAACAAAAACAAAAACAAAACAAAACTGGTTAAAACGAGGCAGGCAGCGGAACCACTGAGTTAAATCCCCAGCCAGACTTTATATATTTTTGAGTGAAGATGAAATACTTACTTCATGACCAAAAATCACAGGGCAAAGTGAGCTGAAAAACAGAACACAACTTATAAACTCTAACATACACTCCAATGATTCATTAGGAAATTACAACTTATTTAATATAGCAAATATAGAAAAAATGTATATCCCCTCAAATAACTCAAGAAAAAATTTTATATTAAATTCCTAAAAATTCCTGGTTAATCTACAAAAGACAAATGCTTTCAACACTGTGCCTGTAAGGGAGAGGGGCACTTTCAGAGCATTTAAAGTAACCAAATGCACTGCTACTCTGCTGCCTGACAGCCGGCCTCTAACATACGCCACAAGCTGGGCCTGATGGTGGCCGCCTGCAGTCCCAGCACAGGGTCAGTCCCTGGGACCCCCAAATGAACGGGCAGCCAGTGAAATGCACCACAACGACAGAACTCCACTTTAGGGTACAGAATACTGTATTTTATGTAAATAGACATCTGTAGACAGAGAAGATAACCAAGGAGTAAACACAGTATAAAAAAGGTTACAATGGATAAAATCTCTCTTTTTAGTTGAGTTCTCAAAGGACCAAATAAAATAAGAATATGAATAAACCGCCTGCCTTGCAAATGCAAGGTTCTGAGTTCAATCGCCAGTACAAAAAAAAAAAAAAAAAAAAAAAAAAAAAAAAAAAAAAGAATATGAATATAAAGAAGTATAATGAATGTATTCACTTTATAAATAAGGAACAAACAAAAATGCAGAGTGGTAGAGTAATCAGGAGTAAAATATGAATTATTATCCCCTTTTAATATATGCAAACAAGCCGGGTGTGGTGGCATAGGCTTGTAATCCCAGCACTCAGGAGGCTGAGGCAGGAGGATTGCCAGGAGTTTGAGGCCAACCCGGGCTCCATAGTGAGTTCAAAGATAGCCTGAATTACATAATGAGACCTTATCTCAAGAAAAAAGTTACATACATGAACATATATATGTGTACATATAAACGCAAAGGGGTGGCTGGTGTCCTGCCCGTGGCCCTGGTTTGCACCTGCACTGTTTGCAGAGGCTTGTTGTGGCCACAGGAAATCCACAGCAGGTACGGTGGGCCAACCACAGTGCTGGGGCTTTTCACATCCTGGAAGCAGCCTCAGATCAAGGCCCTACAAGGACAGGTACTGAAGCTAATTTGTTTTTGTTTGTTTTTTTTTCCTTTCTTCCAGTACCAGATTTTGAACTCATGACATTGCATTTGCAAGGCAGGCACGGTGCCACTGAGCTAAATCCCCAGCCCTACTAAAGCTAATTTCACACAACACAGTGATCCCGAGTCCTCAGAGGGATTATATCCTGGACACTGACGCTGACTGTTCACCAGGTCACTTCACACTGACTGTCACCCCTCCTCTGTATTACTTCCATCTTCCTCCCCTGGTGGTTCGGGGCTCACCTCCCAAGTGGTCTTAACCAACAGCCACTTTCAAAGGAGTCTAAAGTAGAACATGTAACTTTCCACTGTCATTTCCATCCCCCCCTCTTATAGTCCTCCATGTTATCTACAACGAGTCAAATCCCCACCGCCACCATTTTTGAGACAGGGTTTCTCTACGTAGCTCAGGCTGGTCTTGAACTCAAGGTGACTCTCCTGCCTCAGCCTCCTGATATCTGGGACTATAGGTGTGTGCTACCACACCTGGCTTTTCCTTCCTTTTTTATGTGGATCTATTTTTTACTAGGGATTGAACCTACAGGCTTCACACTGAGCTACAACCCCAGTCCTTTTTTTAATTTTTATTTTTATTTTAAGACAAATTCTCATTAAGACTAAATTGTGCTTAAGTGGCACCACACCTGCCTGGCAAGTGCAAGATCCTGAGTTCAATTCCTAGTCCTGGGGTTAAAAAAAGACTAAATTGTGCAGGCTGGGCTTCAACTTGTGAACCCTCCTGCTTCAGCCTCCCACAGTGCTAGGATTGCACATGTGCACCACCCACCACCATGCCTGGCTAACAAAATTTTTCTTAAAGAGCCTGAAAATATTTTCAGTTTTTCAGGCTATACTGTCTTAGTCGCAACTATTCAACTTACAGTGTGAAAGCAACTGCTGATGATATGTAAATAAACTGAGGGAATTAAAAATGTATGAAAAAGGCAGTTGGCCTAGTTTGCCAATATGCTAGATTAATAAATAGGAAACTGGGTCAGGGATTTTGCTCAGTGGCATCGCACCTGCCTTACAAGCTCAAGGTCCTGAGTTTGATCCCTGCTACCAAAAAAAGGAAGACCATGAGAAATCACAGTTTTGATGCTGAAACCACAAAGGGGGAAAAAAAGCGAACCATGGAAAGAAAACCCAGATTTTTCATACCAATCTCCTATGAACACGGCAGAAGGCCCACTGAAAATGTTGTTACAGTTCATAACCAGTAGAAGCACCATCCAGAGGAGCTGGCATCCTCAGCCAAGCTGCCCTAGCTGCCCGCGTGCACCCAGACATCACACACATCAGCCCACCCTGGGTCCCAGCACCCTTCCCCTAGGGGGTCCAGGTAGCTGTTTAGAAGGAGGCCTTTTCCAGTCTAAGGACAAAGAATCCCAAAGAACTCAGTATTTTCTTAGTGGGCAAATTAACATCCCAAAGGCAGAAAGAAAGCCCATCAAATTGTCAAAGCCTAGGTGGAAAGAACTGCACAACAATGTCAATTTCCCTGACAAAATTCATTTCAGTCTTCTCAGTTCTTTACCTCTTAGGTTCATCTATTATGCAGTCTTGTTTTTCCCCCCTCTAAAATTGTGCACAAGACTGTCAAAAATATCAAAAATACTAGCATGCTGTGTTAATTACATTCCAAAATCTCACTTAATCTTCAGACCTTTCTGAGGTAGGCTGAATAATAAACCTATTGTGTGAAACAGTAAATACTGTATCTGTGTTACTGAAACTAGAGATTAACAATTTTTTTCTTTAAAGAACTAGAAACTATTTATGAACCACACCTGTTCTGTTCCAACCACTCACCCCTGCCAATGTGGCACAAGAGTAGCCCAAAGACATTACATAAATGAATGAGTATGGATCTGTTGCAATAAAAATTTCCTTACAGACACTGTTACCTGGATTTCTTATCATTTCATGTGTCATGAAATACTTTTAATTTTTTCCAACCATTAAAAATATCCACAGGCTTGGCCGGGAATTTAGCTCAGTGGGGCTGTGCCTGCCTGGCAAGTGCAAAGTCCTAAGTTTGATCCCCAGTACAAAAACAAAACAAAACATCCACAGGCTACCAGAGTGGTGGCGAGTGCCCTGGGCACAGGGATGCTAACTGGCTGATCATTTTGACCAGGTTTTGTTACCTGGGCCAAAAGCACCTGACATGCACATGTGCAGTACGGTCTCATATGGTCTTCATACGTACTTGACAATGAGTTTAAAGAGGTTTTCTTCAGCTTGAATCTCCTGGATGGCATAGAAGTCCTTAAGTGAGAACTCCATCAGTGTTCCATGCCTAGACCCATCCACAGAAGTCTCTGCTGTCTGACCTTTGCTATTGCTAACAGAATTTGCTTCAACATACAAAAGGAACATGCACTTGTCATTCTTGTTTCGAGAACCTATAAATTCAAATAATATTCAATTAAATTCAAATAATTCAATTAAATATAGTATTGGTATTTTCATTTTCACTGCAATGACTCTACTAGGATATTAAAGTCACAGTGAGCTATAAATAAACTTTAAAGTTTCATCTTAAGTAAGCAACAAGGAAATCCCTACATTATCTGAGATTCAGAAGTAGCTTATGTAGAGAAAAGACAATTGGACAAATTATTATTGAGAGACAATTGCAATCAGGAAAAAGTCACCCATACCTTCTTCAGCATTTGAGACTTTGACAATTCCGGTAATGGTCACCATGTCTCCCGGGACACAGCTATCTACAAGGTCATGAATGAGCTCACATTCAATTGTTCGTGGAATCCGTCCTGCTTCTTGCTGAGCATCAGACATGAGCTCCTGGATTCTAAACATTCAACAACTTCTGGTTAAAATACACACATTCTCTCAGTTGTTTCCTCAAAATATAAACTGTTCAGGGTCCACACAGCCCTACACAGGCGGCCAGATTAGCTTTAAAAGAAGAGTCTGGTTGTGAATCTCCAGTTACTTCAGTGTGGCAGCATGAACAGGGCATTTGCCCCACCTCCCGACTCCACAGGACCATAAAAATAAGTCACTAAAAGGATAAAGAGAAGTTCTGGGAAAGTAGAGAGGTCATCAGCAAAGTAGACACAACAGTGGTCACTTTTCCGACAACGGCACATGGGAAAACAGTGATGGAGGAAAGAAAATGAAATCCAGGAGACACAGCCAAAAGCTACAGGAGTAAAGAGAGGTGGGAGCCCATGTTCTCAGCTGAGCCTCAGAGAAGCTCCTGAGTTGGAGCGAAGGTACTGGGATAACTGACCAGAGATGACAGTGGTTCAGAATCTTAGCCAGGTGTGGTGGCGCACGCCTGTTATCCCAGCACTCGGGAGGGGAGGCTGAGGCAGGAGGATCCTGTGAGTTTGAGACCAGCCTGGGCTACACAGTGAGTTCCAGGGCAGTCTCAACTACATAGTGAGGTCCTGTCTCAAAAAACCAAAGCAAACAAACAAAAGAGAATCTTTTAGGAAGCTGGGTGGACAGCCAAGGAAAGAAGAATGAGGACTCTACCACCTGGAAACCTAGGGCAATGCTGTACAGGAATGCACGCATTTCCTCTCCGAGGGCAGTAAGGGGTCTAGTGGACCATCAGAGCTCTAGAAAACAGCCCCTCATTCTGGCATTTGAGAAGCTCAAACCAACTCAAAAACACATTTATAAAGCACGGTGGTACACACTTGTAATACCAACTCTCAGAAGACTGAAGCAGGAGGATCACTGCAAGTTCAAGGAGTCTATTTTTTACTGAAATACATAGTTCGAGCCTGTCTCAAAAAAAAAAAACCAAAAACAAAAAATGACAAAACCCACATTCATAATAGTCAAGACTCCCACTTACTGAGGGGCTCATGAGGAAAAAAATGCCTACCTATAAAATAGTAAAGGATCGCTGGGCATGGTGGTACCCTCCTATAATCCCAGCACACAGGAGGCTGAGGCAGGAGGATCACCACAAGTTCAAACCCAGCCTGGGCTACAGAGTGAGCCCAGCCTGAACTATATGTAGAGATTCCATAAAAACAAAACAAACAAACAACTGAAGCCAGACCTGCCTACTTCAAGTAATTTGAGAATGAAATGGCAGTAATTCAGGAAGAACATTAAAAAACAAAAACAAAATTCTTGCTTAATATATTGTTTTGAGACACTCTGGGGATTTAGCTCAGTGGCACTGTGCCTGCCTTGCAAGCTCAAGGTCCTGAGTTCAATCCCTGGTACCGGAAAAAAAAAAAAAAAATAGTTTGAGAAAATGTTACCATCTTTAAAAAACAAAAAGAAGGACCACGGGAAAACAAGTGTGAGATTAAATAAACTGAAAATAAATCAAACATTTACAACAGATAAATTTAGAAAACAGCACAAAGTAAATGAAAGGATGAGCCGAAGTTCAGACAAAGGAACAAGCCAAGGGATGCGTCTGATGATGAGAAGCCCAAGAGAAGTCGGACACTGCACAGTGGGAGACAACTCGAGGACGCAGGACCTGTCTGTGTCGGAGGTGGAGACAAATTAGACAGACCCTCCTCACTGCTTCACACATCGGAGACACAGACTATCAAGAGGGAGGAGCGGAATCAGACCAGCATCAGAATCCTCACCGACAGCAGGGAAAACACCAACAAACAGACTATGGTAGCCAGGCGAGCGCCTACCCAGACTAGGACCCAAATGAAAGCATCTACAGACAGGCAAGAACCCAGGATGTTTTACCTCCTATGTGAGCTTTCTGAAAATTTCTCGAGAATTTCTCTAGAAAAATAAAACTAGAGAAGACAACATCCAAGAAAATGGGGGCCAACTCTAGCAGCGTGACAAAGAAAATCCCAGGATAAAGCAGGGCTGCAGGTCTAAAGAACACATGATCCAGGAGTGGTGGTGCACACCTGTGATCCCAACACTCAGAAGGTAAAGCGGGATGGCCAAGAGTTCGAGGTCAGTCTGGACTACAAAGTGAGACCCTTTCTAAAAACAAACAAACAAAAGAATGAATGAATAAAGCTAGGAGCCAGGATTGAAAAGCAGGTAACTCTCCAGGACCTGCCATGCCCCAGAATACACTATAAACAAATTTTGGTTTCGCTTAAAAGTATTTTCTTTCCTCCCTACTTGTAGTGGTTACACTGTAACCATTTACCATCTTCCTTTTAATTTTCTTCAGATGTTTACATGTTCCCAGTGTTTTACTGACACTGTGAAAACATACTACCTGTGAACTATTTCTACACATCATGGCTATTGTCACTAGATGAACTTCTAATAGGGACTGCAGCAACCATAAGCTTTGATACACATTACAAGGCTACCCCCTTGATGCACACGTGTTCAATGCATTAGTTGAAAAACAATAATTTAATTCCTGTGGCCATCCAAACCTAAGGCTCAGAAAAAAACAGAAATTGCATTAGCTACGTATGGCAGGAAGGAAACTTTTCTTCTAGGCAAAACGTCACTTTAGAATAAAACAATTGCCTAAGCTAATACTGCCTTTTTTGTTTTATTGAGGCAGGGTCTTGCTATGTAGTCTAGGCTGGCCCTGAACTCGCCATGTAGCCCAGGCTGTCCTTGAATTTGTGACAGTCCTCCTGCCTCAGCCTCCCAAGGACTTGGATTACAGGTATGCACCACTATACCTGGTCGTCTAGACATGTTTTACTATAACTCATTTTTAAATTAACTTGGGCAATACCATAGTTTAAAGACTTAAGAAAAGGATTTTGTTTACACTGTTTTTGTTTTTTAGGTTTTTCCATTTATTATTTGGTAATTTAATTATATGATTTTTAAAAATTAATTAATTTTATTGGTATATTTAAGGTATACAATGTAATGATACTCATCATTGGAAATTTGCACCTTTACATAATCCATCTTGGTTCTTATTTTTCCCCATTCCCCTGCCTTCCCTTCAACCCCTCTATCCCTCCCTATCTACAAAGACTTTGTTTCCTTTTCTTCATTTTCTCATGTTAATTTCATTCCCTTCTTTCCTTTCCCCTACACCTCTTACTTCCCCTTTGCACCCTTTCTTGTTATTTCACATTATTATTTTTGTTTTTTGTAATACTGGCAAGTGCTCTATCACCAAGCTATATCCCAACCTTTCTTTAAATTTTATCTTGAGATAGGTATTGCAAAATTGTCCACGCGGGCCTCAATTTGTGATCCTCCTGCCTCAGTTTCCCAGAATGCTGGAATTATAGGTAAGTACCACCATGCCTAGGCTTAAAAAAAAATATTTAAATAGTCTGTTTTCTATTGTCTAACACTGTTTGATTTCCTACTATGCGATCATTCAAATCTGATTAAAATATTTAAGCTTATTTTCTTGTTTGCTATATTAACTTGAAATCAAAGAGGTTTTGTTTATAGAGTTACATCACACTAGGTTTTGTCTACATTTGCCATTCTGCAAACTTTATAGACCCTTTCATGCCCTCATCCCCCCTCAGTGATAAAAGCCCCATTACCTGGCTGGAAATCTACTACTCAGAAGGCACACAGACAAACCCAAGAGTGTTAAACAGGCATTTATTATAAATGTTGATCTTACTGAGAAGGAGAGGTGCTTGCAAGTGCAAGGACCCAAGTTTGATCCCTGGCACCAAAAAAAAAAAAAAAAAAGCCAGGACAAGGCTTCATACCAAGCCACTTTACCTTTTCCTTCCCTAGGTTCTTAGTGTTTTAAGATCTGGAGAGCACTCTGATTTAAAAAAAAAAAACAAAAAACCCACTATTTTGTATTTAGGGATGAGTTTTGGGCCTGTGGCTAGAAAAAAAAGTAATAAATTACTGGTTAAAAAATAGAGAAAACCACCTTATTTTGAAAAAAAAAAACATATAATACAATAAAATTATAAATTAACATGGAAGCAAAAACACAAAAGCTTAACTTAAAAAGAGCTGATAGCAAATGGTATAAAAGGTAGAGGACAGTGAGAACCTGAACAGAAATAGGCGATGCTAAGGGCTTCTTTATTGAAAATGTCAATATTCTTTGTGAAGCTCATAAGGAAATGAGTCTATAACTTCATCTAACCTTTTATTTAACAGTCTACTGCTTACTTGATCGACTGCCAGTCCATGGTAACTGTAAGAGGAGAGCTGCGGAGAGGAGTGAACGACTTCCCACGACAGGCAGGCACGGGACACTGCAAGCAGAGAAATGCACAGTGACAATCGCATCTCAGGAAAACTCAAGTGTCGGTACTTTATCAAAGTAAAATCAACTAAGAGCCATAATGGCTTTCCATTTCCTCCTGCAACAACTTCATTTGCTTTCAAAACAGTTCCAGCTGGTCCCTCTCACTTCCTGCTCTGGGCTGCAAGGCTCCTTGCTGTCCCTCACACCATGCATTTATCCTCTGCTGTGGCCATGAGACTCCGCTCCTTGGGCTCCTTTAAGGCCCCCTCTGCTTCAGCCACACATACCCAGCCCAGCCTACCTTCTTTTTGAAAGCCTTTCTTAGGTATCTGTGGCCATGAGACTCCGCTCCTTGGGCTCCTTTAAGGCCCCTCTGCTTCAGCCACACATACCCAGCCCAGCCTACCTTCTTTTTGAAAGCCTTTCTTAGGTCTTTAATCCCCAGTTCTCCTCTGGCGCTGCTTATATGTTATATTTACTGTTCCACACAGGCAATCAACATGTAAAAGCAAGCCGTCTTCATTTTCATCAGTCACTTTTTTGGTGTCTGGACTTTAAGATGCATTTATAAACTCAGGCATTACAGCAGACAACATTTTCCAAATAAAATCGCAACTTTTCTTCTCAAACTTTTCGAGAACCACTTCCCCATTAAACATATAATTCCCTTTCCTAGCATCTGGCCAGGCTTATGACTCTCTGTAGTCATCAGGATGAAACAGACACAATGCTGCCTGGCTTTCAAGTCTAGCTTATGGCCCCTGGACCTCCTTCCCTTTAGCTGTCAGCAGCCATAGCAGACTGAGTGCTCTGAGCTGCTGTACTGTACTGAAAAGCCACAGCCAGGACATGCAGAGGGCCACTCAGAGAAGACAGAGGTGCCTGGTCAGCCCCAACCACCTCACAGTACCAACTCTTCCCACCAACTCTGACTACAACTCCACAGGTACCTGGAGCACAACTGCCCAGGTGAGTAGTTCTTAAAACTCCCAACCCACAGAAATCACACATCAAATTACTGTGATCCACTAAACTTAGGGTGACTTATTCTGCAGCAATCGTGACTAGAACAGCAATCACTTGGAACAGTCATCTTTCCTGATCCCTTTAATTCGCACACATGCAGGATCTCTTCATAATGGCACTCATCTTCTGAGTCAGAGCTCCTCCGCACTTTAGTGAGAGGGCAAAAAAAAAAATCTAAAGGTTATACCTTAAGATGAGACAAATATTAGATGACATTTATCAATACCATTGATTATTTAGAACCAAATGCTCAATCTAACACACCTTGTTCTTCCTCTAAGAGAAGAAGCCCTAGAAATTTCAAACACAAAATCATGTATTTCCATTTTCAAATTCTTTAGGTAATTATTTACTTCACTAAAGATTCAACCCCTTACAAGAACGATCATTTAACAAATATTAAGTTAATTAAAATACAAACACAGTAAAGCCAAACTCTGGAAAAGAATGAAGTCAGGCAAATTCTCCTGCCTTATCAAAAAGTTTTAATAAGATAAACATAAATAAGAGGTCACGGAGCTGGTACAGGAGCACTGAAATGAACCAGGCTCACATGTGCAAGAGCTCCATGTACCACAGAGGAGGCCCAAACCACAACAGCGACAATGATAAGCAGACAGTGGCCGGACAACAAATGACTGTTCACCTCAAAATCAGATCCTTGGTGTTATGCCATTCATGAAGTTAAATATTAGATTGGCGAAAGATCTAAATAACAGAGAAAATGAGGAAGCTACACGTAGTGCCACAAGCTTATAATCCAGCACTTAGGAGGCTGAGACAGGAGGATCACTGTGAGCTTAAGGCCAGCCTGGGCTAACCAGTGAGTTCAAGGAGTTCAAGGCCAGCCTTAACTACATAGTGAGACTGTCTTAAAACACCAAAAAAAGGGGAAGAAAATGTGGGATATGTTTATAATGTTCAGGTAAGAAAGGGCTTCTTACACAGACAATAAAGCTTAAAAGTTATAAGCAAAAGACCAATCATTTTGACCATGTCAGAATGTAAAAATATAGAATAAAAAAACACTACCAATCTAAAAGACAAACCAAAAGCCAGAAAATATCTGTGATAGATGAAACCAACGAGTTAGTACATAACATATATAAAGAACTCCTGTTAAGAAACAAATAAAGCCGGGGGCATGGTGGCACACTCCTGTAATCCCAGCCCTTGGGAGGCCGAGGCAAGAGGATCGCTGTGAGTTCAAGACCAGCCTAGGCTACACAGTGAGTTCTAGGTCAGCCTCAACTACATAGTGAGACCCTGTATCAAATAACACCCCCCCAAAAAAGAAACAAACAAATAAAAAAGGAAATGAATGAAAATATAAACAGAAAATTCAACAAAGATACCAAAAGATGCTCAGCCATAGACATTCACAAAATAAATACCAGTTTACCCATCAGAATTAGGCAAAAACTTAAAAAGTCTAACAATACCAAGTGTTAATGAAAATATAAGGAAATAACTGCTTAACATGCTAGTAAGTGTATAAGTTGAAGTCAATACTCTGTGAAGTAATGTGACAACATCTAATACAGTTAACCATAAGTAAAGCCTGTAACTCAGAAATTTCTCTGCTAACAAGATGTGTACAAGAACGTTCTATGCAGTATCATTTGTAATTGTAAAAGACTGCAAGGCACACAAATGCCCATGACCACCAGAATGGTTAAACAGTGGCTATTTATTTCATGGAATATTCTCAGTACCACTGTAAAAATGAAAGAATTAGGTACATATTAAAGTAAGCAGAACTCCAACAAAGGGAAAAACAAAAGCTGCAGAATGTTATATTTGGTATCTCATTTATGTGTAAACAACACAAAACTAACCCTACATATATTTATAGTCAAGAATAAACATGTGTTTAATACATGCTAATTGTAAATTAGTGGTTTCCAATGGGGATAGAACAAAGGCAATGAGATTACAGAAGAGAACAGAAAGACTTAAGTGTAATACTTTATATTTTTTTATTTAAAAAATTAAGCTAAAGGGCCGGGCACTTAGCTCAGTGGCTCCACCGCCTGCCTCACAAGCACAAGGACCTGACTTCAACCCCTGGTACCAAAAAAAAAAAATCTTAGGGGCTGGGGATTTGGCTCAGTGCTTCCACTGCCTGCCTTGCAAGCATGAGGGCGCAAGTTTGATCCCCAGTACCATTAAAAAAAACAAAAAATACTGAATGGTAAAATATTAAGCTAAAGTAACAAAATTTAATATTCACCAGTGAATAACGATGACTACATAGATGTTAGTTACATTATCCTCTGTAATTCTTTAGCTTTAAAATTCAGGGTTTAAAAACAAACAGGTCAATAAAGAGAAAAAGAAGAAAATACATTAAGAAAACTTGAATCTAGCTGGGTGTGGTGGCGCATGCCTATAATCCCAGCACTTGGGAGGCTGAGGCAGGAGGATCACTGTGAGTTCAAGACCAGCCTGGGCTACATAGTGAGCTCCAGATCAGTCTCAACTACAAAGTGAGACCCTGTCTCAAAAAACCAAAAAGAAAAAAAAAAGGAAAACTTGATGTGAGTTACCTATTAAGTCAAAATACAAATATCAATGTAAAGGATGCACAATAACTTCAGGATAATGACCAACTTGGGAAAGGTACAGGCAAAAAGTTAAAAGGAGAAACTAATATTTGGTGTCTTTAAAAATACATCTGGAGGGAGGGCAGGAAAGGAACAAGGGGAAAAATGAGAACCAAGACCTGTCATGTAAAGGTGCAAGATCCCAGTGATGAATGAAACTGTACTGTATACCTAAAATGTACCAATAAACTCAATGAGGAAAAAAAAAATCTGGAGCCAGGTGTGGTGGAGCATGCCTGTAAACCCAGCATTCAGGGGGCAGAGGCATGCCAGCCTGGGCCTCATAGAGAGAATGCCTCAAAAAAAAACAAAAAAAAACCTGGAGCTGAAAAAAAATTCTGGATGTCAAGTTGAAGAATGTTTAGATCTATATTTTCTGGACCCTAAAGCATTTCAAAATTTAAAGACAAAAAATAAAAACTCTGTGGTCAGAAACATTGGAAAATGTTTCAATAAATTAATTTGACTTTTTACCAAGATAAAGAAGCAGTTAAAGAATGTATCACCTTTGTGGGAAGATTATATTTTCCATCTGGCAGAGATAAGCTCTGAACCTCTCCACAAGCCACACAAAGAAAAGCCATCTTGGTGCATAGAGGCTTTATGTTACTGACGCGGACCACTGTCCCTCTCAGAGCAATGTACTTTCCATAGTAATTTGCGCGAATACTCTTCAGGTGGGTCAAGGGTTCATAGTTGTACACCCTACAAATAAAATAGGAACACCTATAAATCTATAGTTGGGATGTCAGTATTTTCACAAGTTCCTTTTAGGTGGAAATATGAAATTACCAAACCATACAGTCATATTACATATCAGAATTCTCACAAGTAGTAAATTTTCTAAAAAATAAATAAATAAAACCACAGAACTCAATCTTCTGCACTAGGCATGGTGGTGCACACCTGTAATCCCAGCACTCAGGAGGCTGAGGTAGAAGGATCACCATAAATTTGAGGCCAGCCTGGACTGCACAGTGAGATCCACATAGTGAGATCCTGTCTCAAAAACAAAACCAGAGCCAGGAATGGATTCCTGGTACCAAAACAAAACAACAAAATCTTATCTTCCCTTTTTTTTTTTTTAAATCCATAGAATGCTTTCTGCAGAAGAAAAAAATATAGCCAGGAAGAAATCTACAGATTCAACAACTTCTGGTTTTCTAACTTCCATTTAAATAAGTTAGGAAATATTTTTAAAAAAGAAAAATAAACCCTGGTGAGGCTTTATTTTCTTATCTCAATGAGTTTCAAATATTAAAATATAATGATGAATTTTTAAAAATTTCATTTATTCTCTAGGGGCCGGGGATTTAGCTCAGCAGTTCAGTGGTCTGCCTTGCTTGCAAGAGCAAGGACGCGAGCTCAATCCCCGGTATCAAAAAAAAAAAAAAAATTTC